TTATTATAATTTCAATTACAGCTTAAGATTATACAAACTAGTTCGTATTTTATACATTTTAAGAAACTAATAAGTTTTAAATTTAAATCTAATTTACGACGCAGTGGTTTAACCGCAATGTGCACAGTTATTTAACTGATTTTCTTTGCTGAATAATTATCAATTCTGAATCCAATTTTTCGATTGTTTCTCTAAATTTTCGCTTCTTCTCCATCATTTTTTCGATTAAGGGCTTTATTTGCAATTCGAAACGTTCCACATTCATTTGAAATCTTTTAACATCGTATAACCAAGTATTAATTCTTTATCATTTATTAAGAAAATAACCGGAACTTTGTCGAAACAAACACGTCTGTTATTCATGACAGTTTGCAATCAAATATTTTTTACATGAGACTGGGGAAAATAATACACCGAACGAATTAAATAATATTTATTATAATTTCTATTACAGCTTAAAATTATTCAATTTAGTTCTTATTTCATACATTTTAATTGCTTCTTTTAAATAACTAATTCGTTTTAAATGTAATTCTAATCTACGACGAAGCAGTCTAACTGCACTTGATTTGTTTTCCACATGAACCAATGCCTTCTTCATTCTTCGATAAATTCGATATTGATGGTTCGACCGATCGGACCTCTATTTACCAAGTACAATTTTAAGCCGTTCACGATCTTCTGGTTCAGATCGCTGATCACTGAGTCGGTGAATTTTTCGGTAAATCTCTGTGGAAGTATCGTTCTAGACTCTTCAAGTTCCACAAATATCTTGTCACCGTACTTTGTAGAGAGTTTACTAAAATTTTTTGTTAAGAATTTTTTATTTTGTTCTAAAGTTTTCGCACTCACAAAAGCTTGCAAGTGAGACTCTTTATTCAAGGTAGAAATGAAAGATGACATTTCAACTTTACAAAGTGTTAAATAATTGAATTCAAAAAACTAATTAATTCCTACAGACGAATCCATCGACTTTTATACAAGTATAAAACGGAAGTGGGGATGCGAGATTGCGTCCGAGATCCCTCCCCGACCTAAACGAAAAGAGGGGATAGATCTCGAGATGAACGAAAGCATGCAGAATCGACTCAGAATACGAAAAGGAGACGTTTAGGTCAATTTTATGCATTCTGGCGTTCGTAGATACAAGAAAACTGTTAAAATTCTTCAGAAACGTCACTTTTGAAGTGTTTTCTTGTACTTTTAAGCCACTCAGGTACCCTACGGGCTCGGAAAGTGCAACGAAACCATCAAATTTTAGCTAGAAACTTTATTTTTGTCGATTTTTATTGAATTTGAACTATATTTCAACGATTTTTGATGGTTCTGAGCCACCAAACACACTTAAAGCATGCAGAATCGACTCAGAATAGGCAAAGGACACGGTTAGGTCAATTTTATGCATTCTGCCGTTCGTAGATACAAGAAAACTGTTAAAATTCTTCAGAAACGTCACTTTTTGAACTATATTTCAACGATTTTTGATGGTTCTGAACCACCAAACACACTTAAAGCATGCAGAATCGACTCAGAATAGGAAAAGGAGACGTTTAGGTCAATTTTATGCATTCTGGCGTTCGTAGATACAAGAAAACTGTTAAAATTCTTCAGAAACGTCACTTTTGAAGTGTTTTCTTGTACTTTTAAGCCACTCAGATACCCAACGGGCTCGGAAAGTGCAACGAAACCATCAAATTTTAGCTAGAAACTGTATTTTTGTCGATTTTTATTGAATTTGAACTATATTTCAACGATTTTTGATGGTTCTGAGCTACCAAACACACTTAAAGCATGCAGAATCGACTCAGAATAGGAAAAGGAGACGTTTAGGTTAATTTTATGCATTCTGGCGTCCGTAGATACAAGAAAACTGTTAAAATTCTTCAGAAACGTCACTTTTGAAGTGTTTTCTTGTACTTTTAAGCCACTCAGATACCCTACGGGCTCGGAAAGTGCAACGAAACCATCAAATTTTAGCTAGAAACTGTATTTTTGTCGATTTTTGTTGAATTTGAACTATATCTCAACGATTTTTGATGGTTCTGAGCCACCAAACACACTTAAAGCATGCAGAATCGACTCGGAATAGGAAAAGGAGACGTTTAGGTCAATTTTATGCATTATGGCGTTCGTAGATACAAGAAAACTGTTAAAATTCTTCAGAAACGTCACTTTTGAAGTGTTTTCTTGTACTTTTAAGCCACTCAGATACCCTACGGGCTCGGAAAGTGCAACGAAACCATCAAATTTTAGCTAGAAACTGTATTTTTGTCGATTTTTATTGAATTTGAACTATATTTCAACGATTTTTGATGGTTCTGAGCCACCAAACACACTTTTCTTGTACTTTTAAGCCACTCAGATACCCTATGGGCACGGAAAGTGCAACGAAACCATCAAATTTTAGCTAGAAACTGTATTTTTGTCGATTTTTATTGAATTTGAACTATATTTCAACGATTTTTGATGGTTCTGAGCCACCAAACACACTTTTCTTGTTCTTTTAAGCCACTCAGATACCCAATGGGCTCGGAAAGTGCAACGAAACCATCAAATTTTAGCTAGAAACTGTATTTTTGTCGATTTTTATTGAATTTGAACTATATTTCAACGATTTTTGATGGTTCTGAGCCACCAAACACACTTAAAGCATGCAGAATCGACTCAGAATAGGAAAAGGAGACGTTTAGGTCAATTTTATGAATCTGGCGTTCGTAGATACAAGAAAACTGTTAAAATTCTTCAGAAACGTCACTTTTGAAGTGTTTTCTTGTACTTTTAAGCCACTCAGATACCCTAAGGGCTCGGAAAGTGCAACGAAACCATCAAATTTTAGCTAGAAACTGTATTTTTGTCGATTTTTCTTGAATTTGAACTATATTTCAACGATTTTTGATGGTTCTGAGCCACCAAACACACTTAAAGCATGCAGAATCGACTCAGAATAGGAAAAGGAGACGTTTAGATCAATTTTATGCATTCTGGCGTTCGTAGATACAAGAAAACTGTTAAAATTCTTCAGAAACGTCACTTTTGAAGTGTTTTCTTGTACTTTTAAGCCACTCAGATACCCTACGGGCTCGGAAAGTGCAACGAAACCATCAAATTTTAGGTAGAAACTGTATTTTTGTCGATTTTTATTGAAATTGAACAATATTTCAACGATTTTTGATGGTTCTGAGCCACCAAACACACTTAAAGCATGCAGAATCGACTCAGAATAGGAAAAGGAGACGTTTAGTTCAATTTTATGCATTCTGGCGTTCGTAGATACAAGAAAACTGTTAAAATTCTTCAGAAACGTCACTTTTGAAGTGTTTTCTTGTACTTTTAAGCCACTCAGATACCCTACGGGCTCGGAAAGTGCAACGAAACCATCAAATTTTAGCTAGAAACTGTATTTTTGTCGATTTTTATTGAATTTGAACTATATTTCAACGATTTTTGATGGTTCTGAGCCACCAAACACACTTAAAGCATGCAGAATCGACTCAGAATAGGAAAAGGAGACGTTTAGGTAAATTTTATGCATTCTGGCGTTCGTAGATACAAGAAAACTGTTAAAATTCTACAGAAACGTCACTTTTGAAGTGTTTTCTTGTACTTTTAAGCCACTCAGATACCCTATGGGCTCGGAAAGTGCAACGAAACCATCAAATTTTAGCTAGAAACTGTATTTTTGTCGATTTTTATTGAATTTGAACTATATTTCAACGATTTTTGATGGTTCTGAGCCACCAAACACACTTAAAGCATGCAGAATCGACTCAGAATAGGAAAAGGAGACGTTTAGGTCAATTTTATGCATTCTGGCGTTCGTAGATACAAGAAAACTGTTAAAATTCTTCAGAAACGTCACTTTTGAAGTGTTTTCTTGTACTTTTAAGCCACTCAGATACCCTATGGGCTCGGAAAGTGCAACGAAACCATCAAATTTTAGCTAGAAACTGTATTTTTGGCGATTTTTATTGAATTTGAACTATATTTCAACGGTTTTTGATGGTTCTGAGCCACCAAACACACTTAAAGCATGCAGAATCGACTCAGAATAGGAAAAGGAGACGTTTAGGTCAATTTTATGCATTCTGGCGTTCGTAGATACAAGAACACTGTTAAAATTCTTCAGAAACGTCACTTTTGAAGTGTTTTCTTGTACTTTTAAGCCACTCAGATACCCAACGGGCTCGGAAAGTGCAACGAAACCATCAAATTTTAGCTAGAAACTGTATTTTTGTCGATTTTTATTGAATTTGAACTATATTTCAACGATTTTTGATGGTTCTGAGCCACCAAACACACTTAAAGCATGCAGAATCGACTCAGAATAGGAAAAGGAGACGTTTAGGTCAATTTTATGCATTCTGGCGTTCGTAGATACAAGAAAACTGTTAAAATTCTTCAGAAACGTCACTTTTGAAGTGTTTTCTTGTACTTTTAAGCCACTCAGATACCCTACGGGCTCGGAAAGTGCAACGAAACCATCAAATTTTAGCTAGAAACTGTATGTTAGCGCCGTCTATCGGCGGCATAACAGAAAGAGAGAGAGCGGTGCGCGGTTTTAAGAGTACGAGTACGACCCTTTGACGTTTAACGTGCGCGTGCAATAAGGGACGCGTAGAAAAAGACACGAGGTGAAACCCGCTGGCGCCAGCAGAAGACGCAAGACAACCACCCCGAGTCTCATCCTCTTCTCCAAGAAAACTCATCCACCAGGTAGGATTTTCATCCCTCTTATATTTCTTCATCTCAACTCAAATAAATTGGCTAGTTGCCTCGCTCGCAACATATTGGTCCTTCGAGCCGGATCATTCCTCTGAATACAGTCCATTTCGCAATACATGTTGTTTAAATCATTCATTTCTGGTAGTTTTTGCTCTCTTTATCGTACCCGGCGACAGTCGAAGTTTTTCTTCACTCGAGCATCCTTATCGCAAACCGCTTTTTGTCTCCTCGTTGCTTATTGGTTTGTTTACAATTCAATCGTGAGATTTGTTTACAAAATGCCCACACCCGAAGAAATCCTTACCGAGCTGGAGGGATTACGCATTAAACGTGAATCACTATTTGCTAGAATTCAGAACGTTCTGGATTCTTCTCGAACCCTAACCTCAGAAAATGTTCGCTTGTTTCGACCTCGAATTGATGAATTAGTGGAATTGGAGGCAATTGAGGGAATTCAAGATCAAATAATCGACCGCAATTCGCAAATAAAAATTGCTGCAGATAAATTGGAGGTTCTAAATGTCCAAAAAGCATGTGATAATATCATCTACGAAGTTCGTGGAAAATATATGGATCTGATTCGAAGTATGCCAGCCTCGAGCGATACCAGTTCAGCCCCACACACGTCCACGGCTAGCAAATCCTCTCTACCTAATATTGCCATTCCAAAGTTCAGCGGAAAGATCGAAGATTGGAATAATTTTATTTCTTTGTTTACTTCAATTATTCACAAAAACGCAACGCTTTCATCAGCGGAGAAATTTGTTTATTTGCGATCACTGCTTCATTCCGACGCATTAGCAGTCATTTCGGCGCTCGAAGTCACTCCCGAAAATTACGACCTTGCCTTCGCAGCTCTACAAAATCGTTACCAAAACAAAAGAAGACTCGCCATTCATTATCTTTCCCAAATCAAAAATTTTACTGGTTCATCTTTGAACACCCGCAACGGCCTTCAACACTTTCTCAACATTCACTCAAACTCCATAAACGCTTTGAGAGCTCTGAATATTCCCGATCTTGCTGACTTTCTCTTGTTCCAAATGGTTTCTGAAAACCTTGATACGAATATTCGTAAAGCCTTTGAAGCCAAAATACAGAGTAACAGCATTCCCACGTATAAAGAATTAATCGACTTCGTAACAGAACAATGCAAGACATTTGAAGTTGTCGGCGCTGCTGAAACCTCCAACACGAGCAAATCGCGCTTAAAATCTCTACCATCCAAGCGCCCCAACTCTTTCCTTACTAAAACGAAGGAAAATAATAGCCCTGGAAGCTCTCGAAAGGGACTACCACCTGCACCGACGTGTCCATTATGCCAAAGTAGTCATTCACTATCACGTTGTGAAGAATTTCTCGCCCAAGTTATCCAACAAAAATATGATACGATAAAATCTCTCAAACGATGTTTCAACTGCCTGGGTAACCATTTCCTAACCTCTTGTGCTTCTACAAATACGTGTAAACACTGCAATGGCAAACATCACACACTCTTGCATGCAGAGAAGGACAGTACAAAGGAAATTCCACCGAATAGTACTACTGTAACACTATCCTGTCGAACTACGAACAACCTGCTTCCCCATCATTTCTTATTAGGAACAGTACAGCTTTTTATTCAAGATGAAGCTGGAATCTTTTGGCCAATTCGAGCAGTTGTTGATCCTGGATCGCAAATCTCCGCGATAACTTTAAGAACAGTGAACAGATTGGGTCTTAGGCGATCGCAAGCAAAAAATATCGAGGTAAGTGATATATCAGGATCATACACAAAAACCCAAGGAATAGTGAACTGCATTTTACGTTCCAAATATTCATCTGAAAGTCTCAAGGTCAATGCTGTGGTGTTAACATCCATCGCCAATAAATTGCCTACGCTTCCTCTACCAACTTCTATTCGTCAAAAATTTATGGAAATCGACCTTGCCGATTCTTCCTTTGATCAACCTTCAAAAATAGATTTTCTTATCGGTGCAGATATTTACCCACATATTTTATCACCTCATTCACCACATATAATTTCCGGGAATCCTTCTGCGATTCGAACACTTTTTGGTTGGATAATAATGGGAAACACCTCAATAGAACACCCTACTACCTCCTCAGTTTCGTTACTCGTCGTCAACCCTTCACTGGATTCTTTATTACGACAATTCTGGGAGCAAGAAGAAATTGAGATTTCAAAACCTGTTAATCCTGATGACGTATTTTGTGAAGAACACTTTCTTCAAACCCACTCTCGTGATGCTTCTGGCAGATATTCTGTGTCTTTACCCTTCAAAAAAGGATGTACTTCCCTTGGTGTAAATAGACACATTGCCATGAAGAGCTTCTTTAACTTGGAAAAGCGTTTACATAAACAACCCGGAACCGAAGCGCCGTATCAAGCCTTCCTTACTGAATATGAAGATCTACGCCACATGAATGTCATTACAAAGCCATCGTCCTACATTTTGCCTCACCATTGTGTTTTCAAGCAAACGAGTTCTTCCACTAAAATAAGAGTCGTTTTCAATGGATCAGCTCTCGATTCCAAAGGAAGCTCATTAAACGAACGCTTACTACCCGGCCCTAAACTGCAAAATGATTTGTCCGATATTTTGATATCTTTTCGAGTTCACGAAGTTGCCATTTGCGCTGATATCCGCATGATGTACCGGCAAATCATGCTAGTACCTCAAGATCGACAGTTCCAGCATATCTTTTGGAGATCAAAACCCAACCTTCCTGTCCAAGAGTATGAGCTTAATACCGTTACTTATGGACTAACCTCATCCGCATATCTCGCACAGAGAGTTCTTCATCAATTAGTCACTGATGAAGGAGCACAATATCCTCTCGCCTCAAATGCATTGATTGCGCACAGTTATCTGGACGATATTGTGACTGGAGCTGCTTCAATGAAAGAAGCGGAAAAGCTTAAAACCGAACTGATTAACCTTTTGTCCAAAGGTGGATTCGAGCTAAGAAAATGGTGCAGCAACCTTCCTGAATCACTGAATTCTCTGCCTGCACAGTATCTTGAAAATCCCATAGTATTTTCGACAGAAGAATCTGCATTTAAAATTCTTGGGCTCATGTGGGAACCAAATTCGGACAATTTCACATACCACACTCATCAATTTCAAGGTCCTTCCACGAAAAGAACTATTCTCTCTTACATCTCTCAGATTTTTGATCCTCTCGGCTGGTTGACGCCCGTGGTTTTTTGGGCTAAACATTTCTTACAACAATTATGGCTCTTTCAGTGTGATTGGGACGAACCGCTGAATCCAATTCTCCGACATCAATGGGAGACATTTGTTGCAGAAATCCACCTTCTCCAACAAATCAAGATTCCAAGAAAATTCCCAAGTGATTATCAGCAACTCCTATTAATAGGCTTCTGCGATGCTTCCCAAAAGGGGTTCGCCGCGTGTATTTACCTCTGTTTCTTACGTGACAGCTCTAATTACACCATACTTCTCAAAGCAAAGAGCAAAGTTGCACCCCTCACACCGCTAAGCATTCCTCGCCTTGAACTCTCAGGAGCACTGCTGTTAGCGAAGTTATTTGTTTCCGTTCGAAAATCTCTTTCTACTTTCAAGATGGAAGAAACTCTACTATACACTGATGCTCAAATCGTCTTAGCCTGGCTACAAACTATGCCTCATATTTTAAAACCCTTTGTAGCTAATCGAGTAGTTAAAATAATTGAGCTTACCAATCCTGAAAGCTGGTATTACATAAGCTCTAAAGAGAACTGCGCAGACGCCGCTTCCCGGGGAATGACTCCTCAACAATTATCTACTTTTCCTTCTTGGATTTATGGACCAGAATTCTTATCACAACCGCCTAACAAGTGGCCCCGTCAAAGAACATCTATCCCTGATAGCGATATTCCCGAGAAGCGCAAGGGCAAGATTGTTCTTAATGTGCACACCACTGAAGACGTTCTTTGTAAATTCTCCTCACTTGTTCGACTTCAAAGAGTTTTTGCGTATGTACGACGATTTATCAATAATGCTCGATACCATAATCAACGCAAAACTGGAGCCCTTTCTTTGAATGAACTGCGAGAAGCATTAATATCCTGCGTTTTCAACGTTCAGCGACATTACTATGTTGACATCATTGAGAAACTCAAGAATAACATATCTATACCCACAGCTTTATCAAAATTGTCACCATTCTTGGATACAGCTGGGCTCCTCAGGGTGGGCGGACGTCTACGTCATTCTTATCTTCCATTTGAACAAAAACATCCACTTCTACTTCCCAAACACTCACATTTGTCTGCTCTTATTTGCGATTTCTATCACCTGTACTCTTTACATTCTGGGCCTTTAACCGTACAAGCTCTTATCTCCCAAAAATTTTGGATAGTTTCCCTGCGTTCTTTATTACGTCAGCGAATACACAGATGTTTAACTTGCCATAGATTCAAGGCAACTCCGGCTCAGCCTATCATGGCAGATCTTCCTGCATATAGAACTCAACTGGTGCGAGCATTTTTACAAGTTGGCACCGATTTCGGCGGACCCTTTCTTGTGAAAGAAAGTAAACGCCGTAGCGCCCGAATCTATAAAGGGTATTTATGCTTATTTGTTTGCATGAGCACCAAAGCCACTCATCTCGAATTTGTCACTGAGCTTTCTACTTCTGCCTTTTTAGCTGCCTTTGATCGATTTGTATCACGACGTGGCCTTCCTCAAACCATTTATTCCGATTGTGGACGAAACTATATTGGAGCAGCAAACCATTTAAAGGAAATAACCAGATTTTTACATGAACATAAGGATCAAATTTTCTCCTCCTTGTCGGCCAAACAAATAAACTGGAATTTCAACCCTCCCACTGCATCCAACTTCGGCGGAATTTGGGAGGCTGGAATAAAATCCGCTAAAAACCTCCTGAAGCGACTTATCAAAGATACAGCACATACCTTCGAGGAATATACAACTTTATTCGCTCGTATAGAAGCCACATTGAACAGCCGACCATTATGTTCAGTTTCTTTCGACCCCATGGAAAACATTGATTATTTGAGTCCTGGACATTTCCTTATAGGATCACCGCTACTTTCTCCTCCCGAACCCGATATACCAGGAAACATAACTTTTAAATGCCGTTGGCAGCGCCTTCGTCAACTTTTCCAACAGTTTTGGCGTCGTTGGACGCAAGAATACCTACATACACAAACTCAAAGGCGCAAATGGCACCGTAGTGCACCTAACATTCAAGAAGGTGACGTCGTATTCATGTGTGGAATCAATACTCATCCATTATCATGGCCTATTGGTCGTGTTGAAACAGTCCTGCCTGGACCCGACGGAGTTGTCCGGGTCGTGAGAGTTAGGACTGCTTCAGGACAATATATTCGTCCCGTTAACAAACTCGTGACTTTACCCCCTCAGTAAAGTCTCCCCCTTTTTCTTTTTCTCCTTTATTTTTTCCCCTTTCTTTTCAGAATTCTCCTTTATTTTCTTTTTTCAGTAGTTATTATCTTTGGGATCTATTATCAATTCTTTATGTACTTGGTTATCATTCAACCGTCCCTAGAATTTATTCTCATTTTCCTAAAATTTTCCCCGAAAATTTGGTGGGCGGTTATGTTAGCGCCATCTATCGGCGGCATAACAGAGAGAGAGAGAGCGGTGCGCGGTTTTAAGAGTACGAGTACGACCCTTTGACGTTTAACGTGCGCGTGCAATAAGGGACGCGTAGAAAAAGACACGAGGTGAAACCCGCTGGCGCCAGCAGAAGACGCAAGACAACCACCCCGAGTCTCATCCTCTTCTCCAAGAAAACTCATCCACCAGGTAGGATTTTCATCCCTCTTATATTTCTTCATCTCAACTCAAATAAATTGGCTAGTTGCCTCGCTCGCAACATGTATTTTTGTCGATTTTTATTGAATTTGAACTATATTTCAACGATTTTTGATGGTTCTGAGCCACCAAACACACTTAAAGCATGCAGAATCGACTCAGAATAGGAAAAGGAGACGTTTAGGTCAATTTTATGCATTCTGGCGTTCGTAGGGTATCTGAGTGGCTTAAAAGTACAAGAAAACACTTCAAAAGTGACGTTTCTGAAGAATTTTAACAGTTTTCTTGTATCTACGAACGCCAGAATGCATAAAATTGAACTAAACGTCTCCTTTTCCTATTCTGAGTCGATTCTGCATGCTTTAAGTGTGTTTGGTGGCTCAGAACCATCAAAAATCGTTGAAATATAGTTCAAATTCAATAAAAATCGACAAAAATACAGTTTCTAGCTAAAATTTCATGGTTTCGTTGCACTTTCCGAGCCCGTTGGGTATCTGAGTGGCTTAAAAGTACAAGAAAACACTTCAAAAGTGACGTTTCTGAAGAATTTTTACAGTTATCTTGTATCTACGAACGCCAGAATGCATAAAATTGATCTAAACGTCTCCTTTTCCTATTCTGAGTCGATTCTGCATGCTTTAAGTGTGTTTGGTGGCTCAGAACCATCAAAAATCGTTGAAATATAGTTCAAAAAGTGACGTTTCTGAAGAATTTTAACAGTTTTCTTGTATCTACGAACGGCAGAATGCATAAAATTGACCTAAACGTGTCCTTTGCCTATTATGAGTCGATTCTGCATGCTTTAAGTGTGTTTGGTGGCTCAGAACCATCAAAAATCGTTGAAATATAGTTCAAATTCAATAAAAATCGACAAAAATAAAGTTTCTAGCTAAAATTTGATGGTTTCGTTGCACTTTCCGAGCCCGTAGGGTACCTGAGTGGCTTAAAAGTACAAGAAAACACTTCAAAAGTGACGTTTCTGAAGAATTTTAACAGTTTTCTTGTATCTACGAACGCCAGAATGCATAAAATTGACCTAAACGTCTCCTTTTCCTATTCTGAGTCGATTCTGCATGCTTTAAGTGTGTTTGGTGGCTCAGAACCATCAAAAATCGTTGAAATATAGTTCAAATTCAATAAAAATCGACAAAAATACAGTTTCTAGCTAAAATTTGATGGTTTCGTTGCACTTTCCGAGCCCGTAGGGTATCTGAGTGGCTTAAAAGTACAAGAAAACACTTCAAAAGTGACGTTTCTGAAGAATTTTAACAGTTTTCTTGTATCTACGAACGCCAGAATGCATAAAATTGACCTAAACGTCTCCTTTTCCTATTCTGAGTCGATTCTGCATGCTTTAAGTGTGTTTGGTGGCTCAGAACCATCAAAAATCGTTGAAATATAGTTCAAATTCAATAAAAATCGACAAAAATACAGTTTCTAGCTAAAATTTGATGGTTTCGTTGCACTTTCCGAGCCCGTAGGGTATCTGAGTGGCTTAAAAGTACAAGAAAACACTTCAAAAGTGACGTTTCTGAATAATTTTAACAGTTATCTTGTATCTACGAACGCCAGAATGCATAAAATTGATCTAAACGTCTCCTTTTCCTATTCTGAGTCGATTCTGCATGCTTTAAGTGTGTTTGGTGGCTCAGAACCATCAAAAATCGTTGAAATATAGTTCAAAAAGTGACGTTTCTGAAGAATTTTAACAGTTTTCTTGTATCTACGAACGGCAGAATGCATAAAATTGACCTAACCGTGTCCTTTGCCTATTCTGAGTCGATTCTGCATGCTTTAAGTGTGTTTGGTGGCTCAGAACCATCAAAAATCGTTGAAATATAGTCCAAATTCAATAAAAATCGACAAAAATAAAGTTTCTAGCTAAAATTTGATGGTTTCGTTGCACTTTCCGAGCCCGTAGGGTACCTGAGTGGCTTAAAAGTACAAGAAAACACTTCAAAAGTGACGTTTCTGAAGAATTTTAACAGTTTTCTTGTATCTACGAACGCCAGAATGCATAAAATTGACCTAAACGTCTCCTTTTCCTATTCTGAGTCGATTCTGCATGCTTTAAGTGTGTTTGGTGGCTCAGAACCATCAAAAATCGTTGAAATATAGTTCAAATTCAATAAAAATCGACAAAAATACAGTTTCTAGCTAAAATTTGATGGTTTCGTTGCACTTTCCGAGCCCGTAAGGTATCTGAGTGGCTTAAAAGTACAAGAAAACACTTCAAAAGTGACGTTTCTGAAGAATTTTAACAGTTTTCTTGTATCTACGAACGCCAGAATGCATAAAATTGACCTAAACGTCTCCTTTTCCTATTCTGAGTCGATTCTGCATGCTTTAAGTGTGTTTGGTGGCTCAGAACCATCAAAAATCGTTGAAATATAGTTCAAATTCAATAAAAATCGACAAAAATACAGTTTCTAGCTAAAATTTGATGGTTTCGTTGCACTTTCCGAGCCCGTAGGGTATCTGAGTGGCTTAAAAGTACAAGAAAACACTTCAAAAGTGACGTTTCTGAATAATTTTAACAGTTATCTTGTATCTACGAACGCCAGAATGCATAAAATTGATCTAAACGTCTCCTTTTCCTATTCTGAGTCGATTCTGCATGCTTTAAGTGTGTTTGGTGGCTCAGAACCATCAAAAATCGTTGAAATATAGTTCAAAAAGTGACGTTTCTGAAGAATTTTAACAGTTTTCTTGTATCTACGAACGGCAGAATGCATAAAATTGACCTAACCGTGTCCTTTGCCTATTCTGAGTCGATTCTGCATGCTTTAAGTGTGTTTGGTGGCTCAGAACCATCAAAAATCGTTGAAATATAGTTCAAATTCAATAAAAATCGACAAAAATAAAGTTTCTAGCTAAAATTTGATGGTTTCGTTGCACTTTCCGAGCCCGTAGGGTACCTGAGTGGCTTAAAAGTACAAGAAAACACTTCAAAAGTGACGTTTCTGAAGAATTTTAACAGTTCTCTTGTATCTACGAACGCCAGAATGCATAAAATTGACCTAAACGTCTCGTTTTCCTATTCTGAGTCGATTCTGCATGCTTTAAGTGTGTTTGGTGGCTCTGAACCATCAAAAATCGTTGAAATATATTTCAAATTCAATAAAAATCGACAAAAATACAGTTTCTAGCTAAAATTTGATGGTTTCGTTGCACTTTCCGAGCCCGTAGGGTATCTGAGTGGCTTAAAAGTCCAAGAAAACACTTCAAAAGTGACGTTTCTTAAGAATTTTAACAGTTTTCTTGTATCTACGAACGCCAGAATGCATAAAATTGACCTAAACGTCTCCTTTTCCTATTCTGAGTCGATTCTGCATGCTTTAAGTGTGTTTGGTGGCTCAGAACCATCAAAAATCGTTGAAATATAGTCCAAATTCAATAAAAATCGACAAAAATACAGTTTCTAGCTAAAATTTGATGGTTTCGTTGCACTTTCCGAGCCCGTAGGGTATCTGAGTGGCTTAAAAGTACAAGAAAACACTTCAAAAGTGACGTTTCTGAAGAATTTTAACAGTTTTCTTGTATCTACGAACGCCAGAATGCATAAAATTGACCTAAACGTCTCCTTTTCCTATTCTGAGTCGATTCTGCATGCTTTAAGTGTGTTTGGTGGCTCAGAACCATCAAAAATCGTTGAAATATAGTTCAAATTCAATAAAAATCGACAAAAATACAGTTTCTAGCTAAAATTTGATGGTTTCGTTGCACTTTCCGAGCCCGTAGGGTATCTGAGTGGCTTAAAAGTACAAGAAAACACTTCAAAAGTGACGTTTCTGAAGAATTTTAACAGTTTTCTTGTATCTACGAACGCCAGAATGCATAAAATTGACCTAAACGTCTTCTTTTCCTATTCTGAGTCGATTCTGCATGCTTTAAGTGTGTTTGGTGGCTCAGAACCATCAAAAATCGTTGAAATATAGTTCAAATTCAATTAAAATCGACAAAAATACAGTTTCTAGCTAAAATTTGATGGTTTCGTTGCACTTTCCGAGCCCGTAGGGTATCTGAGTGGCTTAAAATTACAAGAAAACACTTCAAAAGTGACGTTTCTGAAGAATTTTAACAGTTTTCTTGTATCTACGAACGCCAGAATGCATAAAATTGAGCTAAACGTCTCCTTTTCCTATTCTGAGTCGATTCTGCATGCTTTAAGTGTGTTTGGTGGCTCAGAACCATCAAAAATCGTTGAAATATAGTTCAAATTCAATAAAAATCGACAAAAATACGGTTTCTAGCTAAAATTTGATGGTTTCGTTGCACTTTCCGAGCCCGTAGGGTATCTGAATGGCTTAAAAGTACAAGAAAACACTTCAAAAGTGACGTATCTACGAACGCCAGAATGCATAAAATTGACCTAAACGTCTCCTAAAAGCCGTGTTTGCTCCGACAAAACTCCTGTTATTTTCTTAATAAATAAATGTTCATCAGCAACTTTCTGCCGATGTAAGCTTATTTGTCCGTAATTATTAGAATAAAATCTCAAATGTCAGAAGGCGAGTGTGTTGTTAAAAATTAAAAAAATTGTTACTTACGACATTGAAAACAGGCAATAAAATTATCCGTTCTCCCTC